TAAAGGGGGTGGTTCTCCTAGGGAATGCTCTACATGGAGATGATGGCCACATAAGCATGGACACTGGCCTAGAGACCATGTTATTCTTGGGGCACTTTCCCCGTGGGCCACAGGCATCCTCCTTCCCTAGTCCAGAGAAGCCAAACCGCTCTGTAGCAGCCTCTGCCAGCTCTGGCTCCCCTGAAGGCTGGGTTCTCAGAGAACAGGGGGGGCACCTCAGCCTGGGGGTGCCGGCAGCTTAGGAAAGGCTAACCAAGCCCCTTCTCTCCACACAAAAGCCCTGTCGCTTGGATTGCTATAATTATCTGAGGGAATTTCGGGGGTAATTATGGTCGTTTACAGCATGCCTGAAAAGGGGACGTGTGCCTCCAAGGAAAAGGGGGGTTTGGGGCGCATGCACAAGGATGCATTTCCCAAGAAGGGTCCCTGCACCTGCAGAGGATCTGCAAAGATACAGCAGGGAGCCACCAGGGGCACTGCCATGGAACTGCCCCCTCTTTGCAAGAAAGGGTTCAAAAAGTCCCAGGTCCACTGCCCTCCAGGAAGAATACAAGTTGGCTTGGTACAGACAATAAGGAAAATTCTGGGTGCAGCACTCATAGCCTCCCCTCAATACTTCCTGCCAGCCCAGGACCATTTGTGCTTTAGGGTACAATCAATGGTCCTCACAAGCCCTGGCAGGGGAGCCCTGCCTGGGAGGACCTACATAAATCCCCCTACCCTGTGGCTTCTAGAAGACAAGGTCTGGGACGGAGGCTCTGGATCCAGCAGAATGGCTCCTGCCTGGCACCTTCCCTCCAGTGGCCTGTCCCCGGCCTCCCAAGCCTGCCCCGATGTGAGCCACCGGCAAAAGGTCTGGACGCCCCTCACAGGATGCTGGTAGTGACCGTTGGGAGCTGCCCCCAGCCACGTCAATACCAATCTCATCTCTCTTGTTCGCTCAAGCACCACAACATGGTCTGAAAACGAAAACAAAGTCCCTTCTCTCTGGCTTGACGTTCTCCCAGTCCTTCCTAAGCACCACTTGGCAGCTTTCTTCAATGCCCTCACCACGATGCCCATCTGCCAGCCAGTCCACTGCATCCTCAGCCCTTGCCTGTCCCAGCTTTGCCCACGCAGGGAGGTCTTTCTCCACGGGTACCTAGGGAAGGAGCCCCTAGCAGGCACGGAGTCCTCCGACAGTCCTCCGAATCTGAGTCACCTTGTCTCACTCCCACTCCAGGAAAGACTCTTAGGGTCTACAGCTCCATATTGGATGCTCTAGTACAGTGGTTCTCAACCTTGCTAATGCTGCGACCCTTTAATATAGTCAGTCCCTCACGTTGTAGTGACTCCCAGCCACAAAACTTTTTTATTGTTACTTCAGAACTGTCATTTTGCTGTTATGAATTGTAATGTAAATATCTCTTTTTCCCATGGTGTTAGATGATCGCTGAAAAAGTTTGACACCCCCCCCAAGGGGTCTTGACCCACAGGTTGAGAAATGTTGCTGTAGTGAAAACAAAGAGTGAGTGAGCATTCTGAGGTCAGCAAGGCTGGCCTTAGAGCAGTTCTGGGCAGATGAGCCACTGCTGGCCCTTCTAGAACTTTCGCCCACCAAAGCCCTGCTCAGCAGGGTGAATTATCATTCCCAAGGAAGCCTGAACCATTGGCTTGAGCTCCCCTTCCATCTCGGACAGGGACATAAGCAATGACTGCAATAGAAACCAGTGTTTAATTAGGTCTCATCTAGGAAATGAGCTATGAGTCAGAGTTCCCATACCCCCTAGATGCCCTAAAGGCTCAAGGGAAAAGCCCTTTCCTGTGGGTGGAATAGGGAATGTCCCAGGTAGCAGCAGGAGCCACTGGGGCTTGGATACCCGTTCCCTAGCCACTGGATTCCCTCTGGAACACATTCCCATGCACCTTAGTCCTCACAGCTGTGTTGTAGGACCAGACTGTCTGCAACCACCCAGCAACCAGCAGGCTCACTACTTCCTGTGCAGGCTGAGGCAGCTTCAGCACCACAGCCCTGCTCCTTGACCACAGGGTGCATGCTCCTAACCAGCCCTGAGCTGCCCTTGAAATCAGGGTGCGAAGGCCCTGCTTTCCCATTCATAGAGTCTTCTACAAGCTCTAAGACCCAATAAAGATATCTGAGCCCTTGCAGCTGTAGCAGGAATAGTAAGAAGCTACTGTTTTAAGTGACCCGGTGGGACAAACAGCATACTCTGGTGATATTATGTTCCCCAAAATAATTGTGCACCCTAATAAACTTATCTGGGGTCAGAGGACAAAACAGCCACTAGATATAGAGGCCAGAAAATGGTGGCACTCACACCTTTAATCCTAGCATTCCAGAGGCAGAGTGTCGACTGGATCTCTGTGAGTTTAAAGCCACACTGGAAACAGCCAGGCATGGCGACATGACCCTTTAATCCCAGGAAGTGATAGCAGGAAGCAGAAAGGTATTTAAGGTGTGAGGACGAGGAACTAGGCCTGGTTAAGCTTTTAGGCTTTTGAGCAGCAGTTCAGCTGAGATTCATTCTGGATGAGGACTGAGAAGCTTCCAGTCTGAGGAAACAGGATCAGCTGAGGAATTGGCAAGGTGAGGTGGCTGTGGCTTGTTCTGCTTCTCTGATCTTCCAGCATTCACCCCAATACCTGGCTTCAGGTTTGATTTTATTAATAAGACCTTTTAAGATTCATGCTACAGCATACTATGTTTCTACAAATGAAATCCCCATCATTCTAACTGCTGCCTTGAGGATGAACCACATTATCCCACGTTACACAAAACAGGCTAAGTGAATGGTCTAAGGTTCCAATCCAACTTCAACCTGTCTCCCTCCACGGCCGTTTATTTAGCTCCATGGTGGCACCTTCCACACACCCACCCCTACCCCCCCACCCCACCCCCTCCGCCATGCACACACATACACATCTCATGGGCAGGCCTAGAACATCAGATGAGGCTGTGGGCCTGCCATTTCCTTACACCAGCTAGCCCTTCTCTCATACTTAACGATACTTGTCCTGTATGTGATCAGTGTCCAAACACTCCTTCTCACCTGGGATCTTGGACCCATCTTGGAAAGCAATGCAAACCATCCAGACCCAAGGAAGAAGGTTGCTGGCTGCCTGCCTTCAGACCCCACAATAACTGGTAAGTAGTGGGTATGGGGCACCAGGAATGAAGCCTCTAGACCCCTCCAGGACAGCCTAGCCCAGCTCTTCCCCAGGACAGACTGCCCCTCAGCAATGCTCCTAGTAGGACCTTGACTGCACTGTGTACCCTCTGGTCATGGTTGCAAAAGGCAAGCTTATGGGCAGGGGGGATGAAGAGCCACTGGGACAGCTGTGTGTCTGCTAACTCTCAGGCCTCTACTGTGGTTTAAATACAGCGTGTGTCTCCTCCCCAGGTCCATGTGGTTGGATGTCCCTAAGGCTATATGTGGTATAAGAGGGAGTGAAACCTTTAAGCAGCATTTCTTAATCTGTGTGGGTGGTGACCCTGGGAGGCGGGTCCGAATGACCCTTTCACGGGGTTCTCCAAAGACCATGGAAAAACACGAATATTTACATCATGATTCATAACAGCAATAAAATTACAGTGACGAAGTAGCAACAAAAAATAATTTTATGGCCGGGGGTCACCACACATGAGGAAATGTATTAAAGGGTCGAAGCATTGGGAAGGCTGAGAGCCTTTGCTTTAAGGGGTGGGGGATGTTTTGTTGGGGGGTGGGGGGTGGGAGGGTGTTCCTAAGGTCAATGGGACTCAGTAGTTTTCACAGGGGGGTTATTATAAAAGAAGCAAGTTGGGTTCCGCTCAGCTTTTTGTGTTCCTGGTTCAAGACATAACCGCCTGCTGGTTTCCATCTGTGTTCCTTCCTGCCAGTCAGCTGCCATGAGGGGACAGTCAAAGGACAGCCCTGCACTGCGCTGCCTGGACTTCACCTTTGAAACGAAGGGGTAATTAAACCTTCCCTTGACTCAGACAGCTTAGCTCAGGTACTTGGTTCTGGTAACAAAAAGCTGACTAACGCAGGCTCCGTGACTCATCTGTAAAATGATCAGGATCCCTGTGCCCAGCAAACAGCGCCAACAGACAGGGCATGAGAGGCTTCTGGCCGAGCACATGGCGCTTACCCAATGCGTGGATGCTCCTCATTCAGGACTACGTCTGGTCCCGCCCCCCCACCCCCACCAACTGTGCTCACTAGTCCCGCCCCCACAGAAGGCCACAAACATGGTCTATAGGGGGGCAGCCGAGGGGAATGGCTCAGCAGCCCCTGGGCCAAGGCAAAGAAAGAACCGTTGCTTAAAATGGAAACAAAATGCCTCAGCAGGGAACACTGAGGCAGGGAGACTAGGCAGTTACCTTTCACAAGGACCTTTCTAGAATGCCCATCTCACAGAAGCACACACCTTGAAAAGGACGTCTGCACTCTTTGGGGGCTGCCCTGCTTCCTGTGTGGTCAAGTGGGATAGAGAGACGAGACCTCTGGGTAAGAGCCAGCAGTTGGCAGAAGCTATGTGGTGAAGAGGAGGCTCCGCCCAGGGGAACAGCATGCACCCCATGATGTCCAGCAGCAGCAGCAGCAGCAGCAGCACTGTGCATCTCTCTGCATTTGATTAAAGGCCCTTGATCTCCCGCTGTCTCCTTCGCCCTGGTATATAACTCTACTCCACATGAGCGATTCGGCACACACTCCTGTTCCCTAACCACGGTGCTATCAGGCTACCTCATCTCCCCACAGGGCTTCAGCACAGCAAAACCCTTTGCAGCACTCAGAACCACTCTCCTCAAGAGCATCCGGTGCCTTCTATTTCTTAACCCTGGTTGCAAAGGAGAACACAGGTCCTCCTTACGTATGATGGCTGCCCCCAGAACTCATAACTTCCTGGGTCAAAGTGCTCAAGACAAGAAGAATCCTTGCCCTTCCTCAAACGTGAATAACCTGGGACCAGGGGTGTGCGGGCCACCCGTCGGGAGGCTGAGCCACACGTGTCCATACCTTTCATGTAGGCCTCAATCTTGCGGATAAGTTCGTAGGACTTGGAGCGGTCTAACAGGGTCCTGATGGCGGGGAGGGGGTCCAAGACGATGGTCTCAGGGTGAGCATCAATGTACTCCTGAAAGAAAGGCCCACTTGTGGTTAGAGGAGCAGGCTGTCGCTGTAACAAGGGCAACGAGAAGACTATGTGCCCACAATCCTCTGTGCATCTGTGGCTCTCTTTGTCCTCCCCCCATTACATACATGACTTTGGTTAAACTAATAAAGGGTCCAGAACAGGACATGTGACCTTATATCTGTCCAATCAGAGGCAGGCTTGAGGTTCTTGCTGGGACACTGGGACAAAAAAGGGCTTCTCTGCCTCATGAAGGAAGAAACACTGAGACGGGGTATCTGTGAGTAGGCACAATGGGAATCTAAGCAGAGGTACGCCTAAGGCCTGAGCTCAGAAGCAAAGAGTAGTCACAGTCTGATAAGGTCATGTGTCCTTTTGGTAAAAGCTTTGCCTGACTCCAGACCTGGTCCTTCTGCTCAGTACGCTCCATCAGAGTTCCAGTCCAGCCTCCTGCACCAATGGATAAGGGCTCCAAGCAGGGCAAGGAAGAGAGGGAAGGTGAAGAGATTCGTGGAAAATTCGTAAAAATGTGTGATGAACAGGACTGTGCCACTTCCTCCAGCCATACCACCAAGAGCTCAGCCTTGTCAGAAATGCGCCAGTCAGGACTTCCTCTTCAATACCCAGCAGGTTTTGGGTGGGCACTACAGAATCTCAAGGGAAACTGGGGGTCGGGGAGTCAGCCTTTGAGGAGTCTGGCATCATCCTGGGGAGGAACAGTAACTCACATGGGAGACAAGATGCTATAAAACAACTCGGTAAATTAAAGACAGAGGGGCTGGGGAGAGGGACCAGCCAGTGAAGGGCTTCCTGTGCAAGCCCGAGGACCTGAGTTCAATCCCAGGCCCAGGTGAAAGCCAGGCAGGGTTGCTCCTGCTCTGACTCCAGCACTAGGGGAGGAGAGGCAGGCAGAGCTCTAGGGCTTGCTGGCCACTCAGCCCATCCTACTTGGCAAGTTCCAGGTGAGTAAGGGAATGTCTCAAAAACCAAGGTGGACAGTTCCAAAGGAACTACGCTTGAGGGTGACCTCTAACCTACACACACACAGACACAGACATGCATGCCCACACACCTACATGTACCGAGACACACGCATACGCACCCACCAAGAGACAAGAAAAGCCACTCCGTCCTGACTCCAGGAGCCCCAGGCAGAGTGAGTCAGAGCCACTTGTTGACATAGGGAAATGAGGCCTGTCCTCGCTGGCTCTTCAGATTTATAATGTGAAGGACATAATTACAAGAGGCTGAAGAGGGCTTCATTAAAAAGGCTGGGCTTGAGGAAGACCCTTCCCCAGCACCTGCGAACATGCATCTATTTGGAAATGGGTCTTCAGCCATTATCAAGTTAGGATGCAGTCATACGGAGTATGGTTGAGTATGGGCCAGATCCTCCCTTGGCCTCCATGTGGAACTAGCCCTACTAATATCTTTTTCTTTTTTTCCTACTAATATCTTGATTTTAGAATTTTAGCCCCCAAATTGTGACAGAAAAAAAATCGCATATGGTCAAGACAGCCCTGGAAAAATGAATGAATGAATGAATGAATGAATGAATGAATGAATGAATGAATGAATGAATCACACAAGTTCACTTTATCACTGCTGCCTTGAAGCCAGCCCCACCCTGGCCCACACACCAGGCTGAGGTTAGCAAAGGTCACAAGGGGAAATACCCACAATGCTGCTTCTCTAATAAGCTTTATCAACACAAAGAAAGAACCATTGATGCTTTTTAAGAGAACCTAGTTTTGTTCCTAGTATCACTTTGAGAGCATCTGAGGCAAGGGCCAGATTCATACTCACTCTGTCTCAAATGGTCCTCCCCATGAACTCACCCAGAATTTCCTTTCTGTCCTCTCCCATGAATGCTTAAATCTCCCTCTCTCCCTTGGATGTGTGCCACCTGGGAGGCCTCCTTGTTGGCACCAACTCTAGCAGATTCCAGTCTCCTGCTCACTCCTGAGACTGACTCCCTTTACCCCATGGCGGCTTATACAGCTACCATGCAGATCTATGAAGAATGGCCATTAGGCCACACCGATGTGCCCATTACCACTCTTTCCTAGTCTCAGCTTACCTGAGAGCTGTTCCTGAGCCCTGCTTCTCCCATGAGGGCTTCTCATGGGCAAGCACCCCTGCTGGTGGCCTTTCCTTCATCGAAGCATGCTGACACACAAGCCCACCACTCACTAGTTCCCCTCCTCCCCATCCCGCTCACAGAGACTTACAGATGTCAGTGCTGGGTGTCTTACAGGTGCAGCAGATACACCAGTGAAGAGGAACCCCCACCCCTGGTTCCCAACTCCATGGTCTTAGCCAGCTCTGAAAGTCCAAGTCAGTCCCTCAGCACTTGGTAGGCAGAGACAGGCAGATCTCCGATTTCGAGGCCAGCCTGGTCTACAGAGTGAGTTCCAGGACAGCCAGGGCTACACAGAGAAGCCCCGTCTTGAAAAACCAAAAAGAAAGTTCCAGGCCCTCCAACCCCTTCCCACTCTACTGCTTCCGGAAGCAGCCTGGTGTGCCAGGAAGAACATGTGACAGGGACCAAGGCAGCCAGCTACTGGGCTTCTCAAGGTCTCTCAAGACACACTGCAAATGACCCTGAAGGTTCTTGTACAGATGGCCTTAAGTTCCAGGAGTTTATTGGGTAGAGAAACCCATGGAGCAGAGTATCGAGACCACATGAGGCTTCCCTGGAGAGAGGGGCAGCTGCTTGCTGGTAGGCACGGCAGGGGACAGCAGGGCCACATGCATTTGCTGTCCCACACACTCCCCACCCAGCAACTGAAGCCACCTAAACACGGACATACATTTCTTCCCCTAGGCCCCAGCAAAGCACATGCAGCCCCATGTTCCTGCAGGGGGACAGAGACCTTTAAATAGAACCCAGTATCACCAAGGCAGGAATTTTAGCCAAAATCACAAGAGAAAGAAGCCCCATGAAACTAGAGAGGGGAACGATCTGACAAGCAGGGGCCAGCACACTTGGAACCGGGATGAAAGCAGAGGTGCACACCGAAGAATCTCTGCCCAGGCGATCCCATCTCTCTGGAGACGGGAGCAGGGCGAAGGCTTTTCCCAGCTTCCCTGCGATCACAAGTACGTTTTCCTGCAAGCTTTTCAGCTCCTCTATTGTATGGAGGGCTGCATGCATTTTCCACACGTCTCTTAGAATTGCCGAACAAATTGCTGGAAGAAAGACACAAACCATCTCCATGGCAAATGGTAAACACCCATTCCCTTGGAGAGCCGGCCTGCCAAGAGGGACCAGAGTGAGATCCTGAAGTGAACAGGGGAGCCTGGTCTTTACACAGAAATGGACAGCCTGAGCCCAGTAGGGTCAGGAGGAGGCAGAAAGTTCCACTGTCAGAAGGGACAAGGAGGCAGAGGCAGAGAAGGTGCCCACTCAGAGCACAGGCTGATCCGGGACCGCGGGATAATGCCATTAGGGGCTCTGAGGGGTGTGTGTGTGTGTGTGTGTGTGTGTGTGTGTGTGGCGGGGGTGGGGGGCGGGGGTGGGGGGACCGTTTTCCCACTGCACTCTGAGACAAATCAGAAGACTGGGGGAGCGCCAGCTGTACTACATCTCTGCAGTCCCCTGGCGGGGAGACGGGCTCTGCTCTCCAACAGAAAGTGCCACCAGAAGCTCCAAATGCAGATCCCGACTGTGTGTGTTATAGCTAGTTTTTGCCAACCCGATACAAACCTAGACATACTTGGGAAGAAGAATTCTCCCTTGAGGAACTGCTCCCACCAAACTGGCCTGAGGAAGCAACGTCACATTTTTTTTTTTTTTTTTTTTTAAGATTTATTTATTATGTATACAGTGTTCTGCCTGCATGTTTTGCCTGCAGGCCAGAAGAGGGCATCAGATCTCATTATAGATGTTTGTGAGCCACCATGTGGTTGCTGGGAATTGAACTCAGGACCTTTGGGAGAACAGCCAGTGCTCTTAACCGCTGAGCTATCTCTCTAGCCCCTCAACGTCACATCTTGACTGCTAACTGATGTAAGAGGGTCCACCCCACCCTGAAAGGTGTTAATCCTGGGCAGCCGAGCCCGGCCTGTCGAAGAAAGGTAGCTGAGGGAGCCATGGCAAACAAGTCAGGAAGCAGCACTCCTCCGTGGTTCCTGCCTCAGCTCCCCTCGATGATGGATGTAACTGTAAGCTGAAATGAACTCTGTTCTCCTCCAGCTGCTTTTGACTACTGTGTTTAACACAGCAAGAGTTGGAAACTTGGGAAGACGTCACATTTTCCAGGTCTGGAAGAAAGACTCTGGAATCAAGTCTGTGGTCCCCTGATGTGACCAAAGCTTTGGATAAAACGTCCCTAGGGAGCTGTTGGGGTCCAGTGGCAATCAATGCACAGAGCGTGGGTAGAACACAGACAAAAAGACTGTTCTGCATTTTGCAACATGGGACTCAGCAAACCTCTGGGCTCACCCTGTCCCCATCCTGAAGACCCTCACGATCACTAGCTCTGCACTGGGGAGTTGCCTGCCCCAAGAGGTCCCAGGCTCCCCAGGACACATATGAGCACAATCCCACTGAGGGTTCTCCCAGAGACACCGCCTGTAGATGATACCCACCTGTGCGCTCAATGCAGCAGGGGCTAGCATCCAGGGCTTCATTTGGCTCTGGGAGGAGACACACTGGGCATCTTGGACCTCCGGGTCCTAACCACTGGTCCTAACCACAGGCTCCTGGGAACCGGGAGGTGTGTGCTTCAGGAGCACCTGACCACCTAAGGGACAGCAGGAGTGACTACCATCAGAGCTGAACTGACTGCCACAGAGCTGCCGAAGACTACTCTCATGGGAGCCTTTATGAAAAGGGGGTGACCTTGGGCCTTCTCGGCGTCATCTTCCTCCTCTTAGTTCCTCTGAGAGTCACAAAGGCTGGCCTTCTTATGCACTCCTCCCATGCTGGGTGAGAGCCAGGAGTCTTCTTGTCACCAAAGCATTGGTATCATGATGGACCTGGACTCACGTCCAAGGTG